GTTCATAGCACGCTGCGTCTCACACCGTTTATCTCACTTACCAATTTCGAAAAATCCGATGATCGGTAGAGTGCTTTCTTCTATTTCTGTTTTAGAGGAACTGAACTAGGTCCCCAAACTTAAAACGGAAGAGAATCCTCGAAAGAAGACCATGAAATCAGTGGTATAGGACTAGCGTGGAGGGCTGGCTTGACGATGCCACGCATGCCTTGGACTATGTCCTGAAAAGTTGCATCGGCGTTGCGATTAGGTGCGCAAACTTACTAGTATTCCCTAATTAGCTGACTCAACGTGTTGAAGCGCTTCTACGTAAAAAAATCAAGTCAAATTCTGGTGCGAATGCCGCGCACATATCGCGGCTTAGACCCTCGAGAACAGAAGGGGAATGAAGAGTACATGATGCAAAGTGATTTCTTCGATTGTGGAGTCTGCCATAATCTTCTGGGGATTTCATGTGTTATTATAAAGAAAAAAAATTGGAAACTAATCAGATTTACTCGCGAACCTTCGGAATACAATGGTCATGGTTAGCCAGAAACGATATAACATAGGGGTCGCCTTTCGTAATCTTTTTTTGACCCATTTACAACTTCCATTTACTGTTTTTGCTAGTGTGTTGGACTTAGCTAGAGGGTTTCTTCCTACTACAGACCATGTTAGGGGAAGGTGTCAAATGCGCCCGCCCCCCGAATTTCCTTTCTGATTTGCTCTTCCATCCCACTCTTCTTTCTGGGGACTCCCAACCTACGTGCGTCCTGTTCTCTAGACTTCTAATTTTCTATGATCTTCGGAAATGTGGGTTAGAGCATAAGAGAAGGCTCACGTTGTATATATCTGATGCTGAGACTAGTCAAACTGCACAAAAACTATGGTTCCGTGAAAACTCGTTTTATCGTGAAGGGGATGGGTGAACGAGTTTCTGGACCTCCGCCGAAGCTCATTCTCATTTGTCACCATCTTTTTGAGCAGATCAAAAATGTACCATCTTAAGCTTTCCCTTTGTAAGTAGAGATTAAGCTTGGAGGGAAGCTATTGATAGTAA